GTAGGGCTCCAGATTTCTGATTTCCCAGCCCACTGTGTCTCTTCTTTGGGCTGTACCAGATTGATGGAATTCACTCCTATTTTCTGTTTCTTTTTTCTTCTATTTACACATTAAAGTTTTTTTTCTGGTCATTACTGTGGCTGTGATTACTGCCTTGCTTTAGCCACGCCTTGGTTAGATCCACACCCTTTGTTTATCCTCCTCTTTCTCTAGAAGACTTCCTGTCTCGTAGGAGAGCTTATCTCATCCATGGAGCACTAGTTTTTAACAATTCGGTTCTCAGAGTTTCTTTTCTTTTGGGGGGGGGGTTGACTTGCTATTGTTGGCATGTGCTGATTTCAATAAATAAAATAAAAAGAATATACATGGCTTTTGTTGGAAGCATCAGGAGTTTACAGTTTTGAAAAATATGGTTATGAACATTAATACCCATGGTACCAGGTACAGAATGGCGGGACCTGAATTGTTTACGCAGATGGGTCTGACAAATTTAGGTTTTTTTGTTATTTCAAAACCCCAGATGTTTTTCTTATTTTTTTATTTTATATTTCTAATAGTCGGAAATAATCTGATTCATTGGGGGTTCTAGGTAGTGAGACTCTGATTAGGAAAGACCGAGAATGTGTTTCTTAGTTGAAAAAGACTTGGTAGTATCTTCTGGTTCTTTTGCGTCTGTTACCAGATGTCACAGGGAGATGTTGCCAAGGATGAGAGAAGAAGAACCCCCAGACCATTGTTGCGTATATTTATCTTTATTGTAGTGTTACTGAGAGGAAGTTTATGATTTACAGTCTAAAGGTTAGTTCAAAGGTGACAACTTCCTACAATTCACTGCAGATGGAAGATGTCTGAGAAAACATTCCTCGGGGCATTATTCTCTGTGAGTGACAGCCAGTTTGGTTTCCATGCTGAACATTTTTAGTCCATGTTAACTCACATTTCTGGACTTTGTTTTCTATTACGCTTACCTTTAGGGGTCAGCATCTTTCTGCTCGTACCCAACAGTCTTCTGAAGTTAACAGCTTGATACTGGTCCCCATGTGCCAAGACGGCATGGTAGCACAGACTGTGTGCGGTGGGGTCACGCTGTTCCTTCCTTCCGTCCCCTCCTCTCTGTCCCTGTTCCTGACCTGCAGATGTTGATGAATGCGCCGAAAACAGATGCCACCCATCAGCTACCTGCTACAATACCCCTGGTTCCTTCTCCTGCCAGTGTCAACCTGGATATCACGGGGATGGACTTCACTGCACACCTGGTAAGGTCTAGAGGGCCAGTGGAGGCGCACACGTGGACGTGTGTTTTCCATGAAGCTCACCTTTAGGGGTCAGCATTCATGGGGCATGAACACCTCCTTCAGGGGGTTTTACCATGACATTCAGCCCAATCTTGGTTTAGCCTGGTCTGGGGCCTTAGTTGGGTTTTTCCCTTGGTTGCCTCCTACTGCCTAGTGGTGTGAGACGCCCCATCTGTGTCTTACCCAGAAGCAGCTCTGGTTAATTGGCCTAGAAACCTGCTCTGATTTGGTGAGGATGATTCAGACGCAGTATCGAGATGACGTTTATTAAGCAGAAGTCACATGGGCTGGTGAGCTAGGAGCAAGTACCCAACTGCTCTAGGGAATGTGGCCAGCTTGGGGAAGTGTGGTGACTGCCAGTGACCTGGATCATCTCAGACTTAAGCTCTGGGCATCAGGGGATGAATAGTTTGATGTGTCTTCTCAGAGTCTCCTGGATGCCTGCACAGATGTCACCGGCTGCTCTTCATTTTACCCAGACAGCGGTAGGCCCCTGAGGGCTGATGGGGCTCTGGTTGCTGTCCCCTCAGAGCCAGCTGGGGACTCACCAGTGCACTGGGGAAGCTAGGGGGAACCCAGGTAGATGGTGGCAGAGCTAGAAGAAGAATTCCAGGCTCCAGAAGCCCAGGGTCTTGCTAATTTTCTCATGTCATGCTGTCTTCCAATTGTAGAGTAAAAATTTCCATGCAGGAGACTTGAGGTTGGCTGGTAAATACGGATGGTTGCAATGCCTTTTTCATCTTCTTTATGTCTCTCTTTGCTCTGGTCCCGGAAGACTCCAGCTCAGACCTGACGCCCTGTGAACAACAGCAGCGCTACGCCCAGGCTCAGCACGCCTACCCTGGGGCCCGGGTCCACATCCCTCAGTGCGACGAGCAGGGCAATTTCCTGCCATTGCAGTGTCACGGCAGCACCGGCTTCTGCTGGTGTGTGGACCCTGATGGTCACGAAGTCCCTGGTACCCGGACTCCCCCTGGCTCCACCCCACCTCACTGCGGACCACCACGAGGTGAGCCAGCCAGGAAAGAAACTTGGCACCAGCCTATGCCTAGGGCTCCAGAATAGAATGGCCCTGATGGTGGGTAGAGTATAACCTTTGCCCAGACCACTTGGAGCAGGGCTGCTCACCAGCCTTTGCTAGCCACTTTCTTCCCAGGAGTCCTTGAATAACACGTGCACGCCTACATATATCCATATTATAGGGGTATATAGAGATATATGTGTGACATATGTGATCTCTTAGACCCTGTGTGGTGCAAGGTTGGAAGTTGGGATTGAGTGTGCAGGTCAGGCTGAGGGTACTGCCCTACACCTGTCCTGGCAACTTAGAGAGATCCCAGAGGCTGATCTAGGTAGATGAGGGTTTTTTCCAGAAGGAAAACTGCCTTCCTATGTCACTGTTCCATTGGATTCTGCCTCCCAAATTGCAAGAAACGGGATGACATCTGTGTTATTGTCAATAGGAAGAATACGTATGGCACCTGTAGGTGAGGTGGGTCTAGCTAGTAGCTAGTTTTCTCTGACCTGCTAACCCCAGCCCACTCTGGCCCATCCCAGAGTGTCAGTGGGAACCACTCTGACCTCAGCAGCCCTCAGAAGAGATACAGGAATCCGGTTTTTGTCAGCCCATCCGATGTAAGACACTGCCGGCCAGGGTGTGGACACTGAGTGCTCCCAGCTGAGCCAACAGCAGGCAGCCAGAGTGGCTCTCTGCCCCTTGAGGAACTGTTCGGAGATGAGTGGAAGGTCTTTTTTATTACAGGAGGACTTTCTTATGAGGAACATAAGATTGGCTTGATACTATTCAGTGAAGGTGACCCGTCTGTGAGCCTGCTGGCCAGAGCTCTGTTCTTGCTGAGAAGGGCTCCACAGAAACTAGTCTCAGCTCGTAGTAGTGAGGGGAAGAACAGGAGAATGGGGACAGTTTGGCTTCTTTCTATTAACTTCATCGTTATGGCCTGGACTTCAGTGGTTCTCAAGTTCATGTAGGTAACAACTGGTGACAGCTCAAGCCATCATTACATTCTTAGTCTCTCTCTTTCTCTATTTTTAGGAAAAGATTCTGCAGGTCTGAAAAAAAAAGACTACAGAGAAATCTGATTTTATGCACGCCTTCTCTCTGGAAAGTCTTGGTTTTTCCTCCAGCTGGGACTGGAAGCAATCAGATGGCTTGGAGGGGAATGGTTCAGAATTCTGTGAAATTTATTAGGACAAGCATGTGTTAAGGACAGTGACTCAAAGAGGAGCCAAGACACTGTGAGATGTTAGGACTAAAATAGGGATGAATCTTTGGTGCAGACGTTCTCACGCCCAGCTTCTCCACTGCTGGTCTGGCCTTGGCCGTCATTTCTGACTAGTCTCATCTGCATAATGGGGCTACTTTGAGGGGGGTGAAAATGCTCTGTGTCCAAGATTTCAAAACATTTAAACCCCTGCCAACCAGACACAGAAGAGAAGAAATCCATGGTTGGGTTGAGAAGTAACTTCAAATAGTGAGGGATGAGAGGGAGGCCGGCCCGTGAGTGGGACACCCATTTCCCAGAAGTCCACTGCTCTGTGCGTCTGCATCCCACACAGATGTTCCTTGTTGGGTGGTCCCTTGACCCAAAAGTGGATCCTCTGAGTTCAGAATGTGGAGCAGGGCGGCTCTGGGAACCTCTCCAGGGAATCCCACCTTGTGGTGGCTGTGAGTGTGTGAGGAACTAGCATCCTCTTTCCAGGTTCCTCGACACACCTTTGGGTGAGGAAGTCAGAGTCCTCCCTTCTCCACGAGGTCTTACAAAGGGCTTTGCTCCGCATGGGCTGTGCTGAGTTATCGAGGCAACTGGAGGCATTGGCTCCCCCAGCCCCCAGCAGCCTGGCAGTGCAGCTGGCTGGGTTTGCCCTCTGACAGTTTCATTCACCATCTTCCTGCTTTCCCAGAGGAACTGTAGCCACTGGAACCCAATATAATGTTCCAACTGTGTTCTTGAAAATCACTGGGGGATTTTGAGGAAAAGATTGACATGACGTGCCCTTGTGTTTGAAACGCACCTTTCTGGCTGCCAGTTGCGTTTACACTGGTTTGGGGAAGAGAAGGGCAGAGGTGGGCGGTGGGCGGAAGCAGGAGACCCAGGAAGAAGGTGATCGCAGAAATCCCCGCATGAGAGGACGAGGTCCCATGAGGGCGACGGGCAGGGGTGCTGGGAGTGAAGAAAGAGCTGACGAGGCTTTTTGACATGGCAGATGTGGAGAGAGAGGAGTCAGGGATGATGGGGTCTGAGCAGTGGGAAAGTGGAGGTGCTATTTGCAAATGTGGGGGACTGGTGGAGGAGTGGGGATGATGGGAAGGCCGGCGGGGTTTTGTTAGTTTGACTCTGAGATTGCTGGTAGTAGCAAGTAGGCGCTTGGCTGTGTGATTCTGCAGCCCACAGGCTGGAGGTGCAGGATTAGCAAGGGGAAGCAGCTGCTTTCACTTGAGCCCCTTCAGGTAATCCTGTCACAAGCACACTTGTTACTTCAATGGCCTACAGCAAAGTCTTCTCAGAGAACTGAGAACTTTCTGAGTGTAGGGCAGAGCCTTGGTGGCACTGTGGATACAGCCTAGAGGGAACTGCTCTGCCAGGGAAGCCAGCAGGACTTTGAACCTGCGGTGAGCTGTAAGGGTGGGGACAGGAGGGAAGGATGCTGGGGGGAAGAGAGAGTGGACAGAACAGGTGGCAGGAAGCTAGAGCCTGAGGGAAAAGGGGGGGCTTTGAGAGAATCCCAAGAGCAGGTGGCTGAAGGACCGTGGTGGGAATGAGGAGTTGCTGGCCGCCGCTCCTGCGGTCCTTCACACACCAGTCTGCGCAGTTTCACTTTCACTCAGTGGCTAGGTCCTGGGGGCACGTGACATAGCAGAGATTTCAGTAAGACACACACTGGCCAGGCTCAAGGTGGCCCTCTCAGCAACAGGTCCTGGGGCTTGAAGTAAGCGGGGAAGAAAAGAAACTGGCAGTCAGCATCACCTAGGCCACTGAGTCCCTAAGGTGTGTCTGCACAAGTGCTTGGCCAGCAGAGGCACCCTGGGCATGGCAAGATGGGCAGTGTGGGCCTCTCCTGGCCCTGGCCTGAGGGGAGATTGTCCTCTTCCCAGCTGAGCCTGGCACCACTGTTCTCCCCTCTCCCTGTTCTTCCCGGATGTGGCCTGGCCTCAAGGACGGACCCTCCGGCCTGGGGAGACAGGAACATCAAGATGACCTCTTCTTCTGAGTCCCACAGAGAACTTCTGAGAACACATTTCCTTTCCAAGTCCAGTGTCCAGGGGCTTTGCTGAGACCCTGTCACTGGTGGCCAGGCATGGGGATCTCTGACTCCAGGCCTCATTCTGTCCTGGCTCACGATCAAAGGCTTTTACTCCTGTCTGCTCAGAGCCCACCCAGAGGCCCCGCACCGTCTGTGAGCGCTGGAGGGAGAGCCTGCTAGAGCACTACGGCGGCTCCCCACGGGACGACCAGTACGTGCCCCAGTGCGACCACCTGGGCCACTTCATCCCACTGCAGTGCCACGGGAAGAGCGACTTCTGCTGGTGTGTGGACAAGGATGGCAGAGAGGTGCAGGGCACGCGCTCCCAGCCCGGCACCACCCCTGCATGTAAGCTGGGACAGCCCACCCTGCCATCTTGGCACCACCCTCTTTCTGTAGGGACTCTGCCAGGGTGGGCGCAGGTTGGATACGTGGGGTAACCAGGTCTGTTGAAAGATGTCACTGTGCTGTGTTAATTTACAGTCCAGTCCGTCAAGACCCCAATTTGGATTTGCTGTTTGGTTTTTGTCCTTAGCAGCTTCTGTAATTAGAACATCTGGAACTCAGTTCAATAAGCGATTACTGTCCCCTTCCAGCCCAGGGTGAAAGGGACATTGTCTTCCTGGGGCTCAAAAGAGAAGCTGACACAATACTGGTTCTGTTTTTTTCTCTTTAAAAAACAACAAAAAAGAAACCATTCTGCTTTGTTCTGAAGGAAGTGTATTGTCTCCCTCCCAAGTAATTGGCAGCGATTTACATAATTCATCCTTGGGAAAAAAACCCTGGAAATTAGAATTTCTTTTCAAGAACATCTGGAGCACATCTGTCTAGAGTGAAGAACCTTTTGCATTTTTCGACGTGCTAGTGTGGGGGAAAGTAATTTTTCTTCCCCTCCTCTCCCTGCGCTTACGCGGGCAGGTATACCCACGGTGGCTCCTCCCAGCATCCAGCCAACGCCCCGGCCTGAAGTGACCCCTCCGTCCGTGGGCACCTTCTTGCTGTATGCCCAGGGACAGCAGATTGGCCACCTGCCCCTCAATGGCACCCGGCTTCAGAAGGACGCAGCCAAGACCCTGATGTCACTGCATGTAAGGTGGATTTCCCTGGGGGCAGGGGCTGTGCGGGGCGGGGCCTGCATGGGGTGGGCTGCTCAAGGGGGCGGGGTGTGGGGATGTTGGGGTGCAGCCCTACTGCAGGGCAGAGGACTGCAGAGGAAGGACCTCCAGGAAGGTGTCTGGCCTGAAGTCCCCCTTCATGGGCCTGAGGCCAGCGCCACAGAAGTGGAGCTCTTTGTTGCTGGGCATCCCGTGCAACTGACCAGGGCTGCCCTCTCCACTGGCTCCACGGGGTTCCAGACCTATAGAAAGGGAATTTCAGAGTTGACAGGGTGTGGCGGCTGTATCGTGACCCATGGAAAAATGGACAGGATTTTACCCCAAGTCCCCAGGGTTCTCCCCATGTCACAGACATCTCCACAGAGATCCTGGCCATCAGCACGGCAGGAGGACTAGCTGTGGAGCAGTGGCTCCTGTGACAGGCTGAGAACTCTGAAGGGAAATCAGTTGGGGACCCCCTCCCTGTTTCAGCCCCAGCCCTCCCATTCTGGTTCTACGGGTTTGACCCGCCTTCTCTGCCTAGCTCAGGAACGCAAGTTGGGGAGCATGTGATGGTGCAGAGGAGGGCATGCGCCCCGAATCTTCAGCCCGCAGTCTCCCACAAGCCCAAGAGCCCCAATATGGAGCGAGGGATTTCTCTCCAAAGCGAAGGGGCTCTGGGGAAAGGCGCTGGCGCTTCCAATGGAAAATCACCTGGTTTTGTTTCTAAACTTGCTCACCCGGGAGAAAGCCCAGCCTTCCGTTACATTCCCTTCTGTTAGCGAACTCACTCCTTATTTGGTTCCATAAAAGCTCAGAAGGAGCCGGTGTTTAGAAAGCGATTTGCTTTTTTCTTTTTAAGTCCCTTCCCTTCCCCGTAAACTCTCACTGTTTGTAAAGTTCCTTTCCAAGAGGTGGAAACTAGGAGTTGCCGTCACCGCCCCATAACTGTCGTTTACTCCAGCCAAGGCAGATGGCTTGACTGCGCGGAAGGCTGGGTGGTGAAACTCGGGCAGTGTTTCTGTCTGTCCCACTCAGACAGAAATGGGACATGGGTTACAAGCACATTTTAAGCAAATCTACTTAAACTGGAACTTTTCCTCCAAGAAACTTAGAAGTTGGGACATAAGTTTATGAATCTCATGGGTTGATGGGAGCTCATATGAATGTGTATACCCTTTGTCTGGGGCAAATGAGTTTTTAATTTTAATTTTCAAGTAAAAGGTCCTCTTTAGGTCCCCAATATGAACTGCTTACTTCTTCCAAGAAGCCAAATCCTGTTTCATACAGTCTTTCTCGTACTGAGTGCTCTCTCAGAGGCGTAAGTCAAGCCAAGCCCCAAGAGCTTTGTTAGGCAAGGCAGGAACTGGTGTGACCTCAGGGACGGCCAGATGGCCCCTAGATGGTGGCTTTGAACATCTGCTGGGCTTCACAGAGCAGG